TCAATGAGCAGCTACAGAGGATTTCTGTCCAACCATAGTTGCAGAGAGATGAATGGAGGCTTATGCTGCTACTGGATATGTAATAAGATTGTGCAATAATTGTATCTGACTAAGCCATTAAAAGGTTTGCTACTTTCTGATCAGATGAACCAAGATTACGTACATACCCGGCTATTTAAGTTACTTGTGATATCGCTGTACTCAGTGTGAAGAATACGTTTGTTTATTTCCCCCCCAAAAATATTGGAATCTGTATCGGCAGCTTTTGAGAGAAATATCAAACTCATTGACGGGAACGAATCTATCACACAAGCATGATATGCTGCTTTTACTTTAGAGACAATGTGGCTGGAAAAAGACCAACAGTTTTAGTCAGTGGTATGAAAGGGCTGCTTCAGATAATGGCTGAGGAAGCAGAACGCGTAGAAGCCCAAGAAGCTACACCAAAACCCTGCTGGAGGTCTAAGCAAAGCAGAGTGAGTGTGGGGGGGGGGGGGTGCTCAGGAGGCCTGACTGAGGCACCCTCCAGAAAATGATAGGAAAACACCCACTCCTCTCTCCTTCAAATAATCCGGCACTGGACTTGATTAAAACAATGGCGTGGAACAATGGAGCCACAGAGATAAGTGAGAGCCTGGTGGTGGTTGAAGAACGAAAGAGAGAAACAAGGCCCGGCATCAGCTGCAGACCAGACACCATCTCTCCCACTCTGCTCCTTATCACGCTGCACTGAGGGGCCGCGAGCTTGTGAATTCATAAAGAAATGAAATCCGATGAGAAACAGATTAAAAAGCTAACAGGCGCGCTCAGCTGAGCGGAAAACGCTGATCGAAAAACAAAATAAGGCGATGTTCCGTGCACGGCTCCGCTCATCGCGTTCCCGGGATATCATTGGCGCCTCACCACTTAATATCACCATTACTATTGTTATCATTATCAGACCTATTTATCTTTAGTTCCTTCCCTTTGTACAACCAAAAAGCATCATTTACTGCTAAAAATCAATAGCCCGATAGAAGGGATGTTTTCTTTTCCCTTCATTTATCTGCTTCTCGCTCATGCTGCTCCCTCCCAATGACATGGTGACAGCTCCCAAAGCAGCATCCTCCATGGACGCCCCCCCCCCCCCCGTGGATCTTATCGTTCCACCAATCGAAAATGGCGCGCTAATGATGATAAACCTAATGAGGTAATGCGCTATTGGGTGTCGTATGCCCTTCGCCATACTGATAACATGAAACCCGATGACAGCGCCGGCCGAAGTTTTCACCGGCCACAGAGGAGGCCAGATAATAGCTCGCCGAGCCCCGAGATGACGTTGATGATGATGATGATGATAATGTTGCCAACCGTGGGCCACGAAGCATATCCAATCCCCTCCCCAAATGTCAACCTCCTTCCCGTATTGCTGCAACAAAGAGGCTCAGAGAAAAGGTTTGTGACACGGAAACCTGCTTAGAATGGTTAACAAACCCGCGTCTCATTTGCTCCTGGGTGTGAGAGAAGCCGGGGCGGTGTGCACACACACACACACACACACACACACACACACACACACACACTCCGAGCGGAGAAAGGAGGGTGCATGGGGAGGAACCAGGAGAGAAAAGCGACATAGATGGTTTGAAAGGGCGGTTGGTGAAAAGATGTGGCAGCTCAGGCCGCTTGTTGTGAGATACCAAGACGTTTCTGTTTTTCCTCATGCCCACGAGCGACGGGCCCCGTTCTTTTCCACCGGGGAGAGCGACAGCTTAAAGGGCAGACATCTCTTTCGGTCGCTGTCTCTTTTTCTCTCGTGTGTTTGGTTACCCCAGGGCTGAAGTGTGGTGCAGTGACAGCGCCGCTGACACCGCATGCCGCAGACGGAAAAGGGAAAGTGATGCTGCGTGTCGGCTAGCGGAAGCTCCCCTCCCGGGGATGTTCAGGGGCTTTGCAGCCCCCCCCCCGCCCGAAAAAAACAGATGTTTGCGTGACTGCAAACCGGCCATTATGTGGGCGACTGGGGGGGCGTGTTGGCAGCGGCCGGGGTCACTGGTGCACACGCGGCAGTTTCCCCTGTATGTGTGACAGCACTCGGACGAACCACCGGCAGTGTTGCTCTGCAGCGAGGTGCGACTCCGGAGTAAACAATGCATTGTGCTCCTGGAAAGCTCAGAGCATGAAGCACTTAGCCGTGCCCCCCCCCCAAATCTACAGCTTAGCGCTGAGGCCGTGATTGCAGACGTCAGAGCCTCCATGCTGAGGAAATCAGAGGGAGCCACTTCAAAAGATGCAAACTGCACGAACATGAAGTGAAATAAATCACTGGCATCTGGCTCGCGCTTCTCCTCGAGCTGCTTTGCAATGCGGGTGGTACCCGATTCTGAATCTCTATAGTAAACTATAGTAATAGCTCACTAATGTTGGTGTAATGTACGAACTTATGCAGGCGAAATTCTTCATCATTGTCATAATAGTCTCATTGTTTCAATGCCGCCTTTATACTGTACTCCTTATTCTTTAAACTAAATCTTCATTTTCATCCTTAGTGTGATTATCTTGTTAATTACAATATTTTGTTTGCCAGCTGTTTTGGAAACGAGTTGTCGTTTTTCTATTGTTTTGAATAATAATAAATTATTATTAATGATGATGATTCAGTACACAATACAGTGGCAAAATGGACCAACGTGATAAATGATGCATTTGGAAGTATGCCTGCATCTTTCAACAAACACAAAGGAGAATATTTACAGCAGAGACAGTTGTTTCTGAACCTCCCTGCACAGCGACGCAGGGCCATTAAATCGGAAATGCTAAAATGAATGTACAGCTGATTATACGCTATGAGCCACCGAAGCATTGGTGAAGTGTTTTTTTAAGGAAAGCCCATCTATCCTTTCGATGCGCTTTTCCAAACCAATCTGGTGGATAAGAGCGTTATTAATAGAAAAGGGGAGCGGGCCGGAGGTATAAGGAGACAATCCCACCCAGCGGGCCGCTAACACCGACCGCTCTCAGAGAGGCGACTGGAATGGGAGGTCGAGTCGAGACATCGTCGTTGTGTGTCCCACGACGGATTTGTCCTTTGGTGACAATGTCCACTTTCAGAGAGATCCGTCATGTGGATAAAGCTTTACGAGCTTCTAGCCGAACATCCGTCCACCTTTTCCATTAGTTACATTTCCTCATATTTCATTACAGTCGATCCCCCTTTACCCAAAATGATATTTTGTGATTTGTCAAAGTCATATAGAGGTGCTTTTGACATTCGCCCCCGTCTCACAGCAGGCAGATTATTCATTTATTTAACCCTTTTTTTTCCGTATCTGTTTGATGTGTTGGTTTTCCTTTTAATCAACACACATTAACCTAAATGTTTTATCTGCTGATGATTTAGTTGATTAATAACCACAACAGCTTCAGTTAAAAGAAAATATGAATCCATTTGGTTTCATTCAAATTGAAATATTTGGTTTGTGAAAACTACTTACAAAAAATCCTCACGTGCTCACAAACCACTACAACTAAACTAATTCTTCACCTTGGGACAAACTGCTCTCCATCCAGCTAACGAAGCATCTCTCTCCTTCACCTCCCCACTCAATCAACATTATTTCTCCCTGGATTTGTAATCAGATGCAACAAGACATGAAAAATGGAGAGGATGGAAAAGCCCGGCACAAAACCCAGAATGTCCAACAAGCGCCGTTTGATGAAGTGCATCGTCTATCACTTCTAACAGCACACTGGGACGGACTAGTTCATGGGTCAACGGGGCAGCATTATCTTTAAACCCCCATCTATCATTCTGTGTGTTAAACGGCATCTCTTCAGCCTCAAAAAACACAATTCATTTTATTTTCTAAAGCCCAAAAGGACAAGGACAAATTTGCGTCGCAGGGCTTCACAGTGCGTACACATGCAACATCCTCCGTCTAAAACCTCCCATTGGCAAAGGAAAAAAAAAAACGAAAATGAAAAACTGGGAGGCTGATACAACTTCACTAGTGGGTCACATCGAGAGAACGTTGGCGTTAGTGGCTCCTCAGACGGAGGGTCGGGGGCCAGTCACTGCACCTCCAAATTACACGTCCATCTTTCTCTTTTGCACAAAGCACCATTCTTCCGGCCAAATTACATGGGACATGTTTTTGGCAATATGGAGCAACATGTCCAACACTAATGATTCATATTGGAAGATAAAGATGCTCACAGACGGAAGTCCTTTGTAAAGTGTTATTACATCTGCGTATTATTTAACGCTGGTGCTGGAGAAGCCTGTGAAAGTGCCGAAGACATCGTATCTCCTCCACATGTAGGATACGTGGACACTGGTCAAGGTCGAACTTAATTCGGTAAATGTATTTCCAATTTGATCCAACATATTCCTTCTCCCGTCTGCCTGGGAGTAAAAAGCAACAGCAGAGGTGTTGGAACCCGAGGCTTTGGACCCACCCGGGCCTTCGGCTCAGCTGTAATTCAAGGAGAGGGCTAACCAATGGGTTCTACAGCAGCTTTGGGGGGTTTCGGTGCTGCGTGTGAAGGGCTTCACAGCCCTGCTGTCTGGCTCCAGGCGCTGAGGATTAAAGGCTGACAAGACATCACATCTTCCCCGTTGCATCTACCCAGAGCTGTGACCCAACTACCGGCATCCTGCCGCTCAGCCTCCGTGCGTGATTGCTGTTTAACGCCGCAAAGAGCGGAAACGGACGGAGTTCCTGCGCCAGGTGGAGCTGGATGTCAGGAGGTTCTAACAGGTCACCCCGTTGCATACTAATCGTGGTACTGACCGCCTTCTGGCGTGTCTCACAGTTCCCAGTCGTCGCTGCGCTGCCGGGCAGGAGGCACCGATACCCCCAGCCGGGAACCCGTTACGGGATATGCACTGGGTGGGGGGCGCTTTCTCCATCACCATGCCGGGGATGCGTTTCGTCCCAACAACAACAACAACAACCACACAGGAGGTGATCACATTCCTTTCGTGGAGCCCGGTGTTTGACGGGGGGTGCGAAACTTACCAGGGTGACATTGTGCCCGGAGGAGCACGAAGGCAGGCACCATCAGTGAGAAAATCCACCAGCAGCAGCGACACGGATGCAGTAGCCTCCACATGGCAGTGATGTGCAAGTCGACATGCAAACAATAAACCGCAACAACTGTTGAGTCCCCCCCCCCCCCCCTCCCTCCCCCTCTCCCCCCTCTTTGCGGGCGATTCAGCCGACGCGTTCGCCGCGTAAAAAGCAGCACCAAAGACGCAGCGCAGGCGGAGAGGTGGAGGAGGACGCAGAGGAGGAGGGGGGAGAGATGTTCAAAGATCCACTGAAGAGTCGTTCTGTCCCGAGGAAAGGCCAATTACCCCGGTCACGAGCATAACGCGCGGACAGCGGTGGTTGTGGAGGCGCGTGGATGCGCTCAGCCAGGTGACAGCGGCTCGGAGAACACTAGCAGCGGCGGTCCACGCGGCGCGCCGGCGCTCCTGCGGCTGCGGCGGTGGAGGCAGCGCTCGTCGGGCACGCAGAGCGGGGAGAGTCGGTGGGGTTTCGGGGGGTAGAAGGGCGCTGAAAGTTTTCCATTCTTCCTTCCTTCCGGGAGATGCGTGGAAGCCCAATTTGGCCAGGGACTTTAAACCAGTCTGGTGGTTGGGGGGGGGGGGGGGGGGTGGAGGTTATTCCTCTGGATCCTAGCGCCGACTTCAGAACGCACAGCCGCTCTGTTTAATAGCGAGAACATGTCCCTACTAATAGGTATTGATCGATATGAGCTCTAAGGGAATCCGTTTTCTTCATATTAATGACTTCAAACTAGACCACCACTAGACTGCAGAAGATGTTGTACTGATTTCATAGTCAAAGCCATGGAAGGACTTCCATTCCTGATGGAAACTACCCAGGAGAAGTATACTTACAAGGGTCATCATTTGGATTCTGGAAAAAAAAAATCGTCAGCAATGAGAATATCAATATTTGCAACACATAGGAAGACCTGCATGTAACAGCGTATAGCATACAAACCGATCAACAAAAGAACCATGTGCCACCGCTATAAAAACTATAAACTCTACAGGGCCAAAACAATTATTCCAGACTTAACTTGTCAGATAAGAATTCCCTCAAAAATACCCCTGCTAAACACAGAGGTCTAGAGAAAACATTAGTCCTATGTGAATCAGCATTTTGGATTTGATTTGGAGGGGTATTGTTTTTCCTGACGTTTTCTTTGCGCTATGCAGATAACCTGCGTTATGGTCTGTTCGACTCTACACGGACCATCATTTTCTAAATGAACATTATGTTGTATTGAAGACATGAAACTATAGAATGAGACCACAAACTCATGTTTACAATGTTTACTGAGGGAATAAAGAAAGAGAAGTATGAGAAAACATCAATTTTCCCATAGACTTTTATGGAATCAGTGGAGTTGCCCTCTGCTGGTCACTAGAGAGAATGCAAGAGGTACTTCCACACTGGTTTTACTTCTCAGAGCTCACTACATAGAGCCTCGCCATCACACCAGGGGATAACGTCAGTAAATTTAACTAAAGTAGACACTCGTCTACCGCGTATGAGTTTATCTTTTGGGGGAGGGGTGGGGGGGGGGGGGGTGTTTATTGCCTGAGGTCCCCTGTTAATAATAGTCCTGTGTGAATAGACCTTTAGTCTGTCAGAGGCGTAGCAGAGGAGCTCTATAAAGTCTAAGACAGTGGCTCATCAACAGAAAAAGCAGAACAGAGCTTTGCGACATCCAAATCCCAAAGGTGGTGGGTGTCTGAGATGAGGAGGGAGATTGTTAGAAAAATTGTCACTGACTTTGCTGTGTTTCTTCGAGTCACAGTTACACCAATCTTTCTGAAAAGACCCTTGTTGGTGTTGTTCTAGCTGCTCCAGAGAGGTTCGGAGAGACCAGGAAAGAATATTTCTAATGCATGTGTGAATGTTGACTCCTCCATCTCATTTTGTTTGTTTTTAAAGACAGGTTCAGCTAAAAAGACACATATTTGTTCATCTCCACCCAAAGAAAGGGGACTCAAAAGTGTAATAGGCATTTCTGTATTTTATTCTATGTGTAAATTACTCAGATGGTCAGGCTTTGAGGGGGAGTGTGTTCCACTGTGATGGAGCTCAAACGGTAGAATGTTTTGAACTTGGACCGTGGAACTTTTAATAACATTTGATTCCCTAATCTAAGGGGTCTCGGAGCAGAATAGGGGGTTAAGAGTTCAGAAATGTAAAGCTGAGCCGGACCATGTAGGGATTTAAAAGTAATCAATAGAATCTTAAATTGAATTCTGTAACAGGAAAGCAGTGTAACTGGAGTGATGCGTTCCCTACATGGAGGGTTTGTGAGCAGGTTCGTGAGTTGTGCTGCTGCATTCTGTCCATAGCAATCTTGAAGAGAGGAAATGGGGCTAGGAAGGACCAGTTCATTTCGGTTTTTGGGCGGCATTGACTTGACTTTGGCAATATTTCTGTCTTGTAAATAGAAAGATTGAAGAAGACTCCTGTGTGCTGATTGAAGTTGAGGTACCAATCAATATAAACTCTTTAGTTTCTAGCCAATTGTGTCCTGTTAGTAAGTGTTCCAGGGTGGGTATTACACTTAGAAATAGGATCAGTACCAACAACCAAGACCTCAGTCGTATCTGCTTCAGTTGCAGGAAGTTGGGAGCCGTCCACTCCTTACTGGCAACAGAGCCAGAAATTCCAGATTGATATGACTTCGAGGGCAAAATGAGAAGTGACATTTAAAGAAGAAAATGCCATCAGAATCAATAATAATATTTACAGCGTACAAGGCAGTCAGCAGTCTCTGGATGTGGAAATTACATCACAAACCATGTGGTCACCACATATTCATAAATCCACAGAAGATGAATCTTCAGAATTGTAAACTAAATTCCTGTTGGTTTAATGTAGTTTGTCTTCATTAGATTAGATTCAACTTTGTCATTGCACAGAGTGCATCTAACCAGAAAGTGCAAGAGAGCATGAAGTGTACGAGTATGTCTATGTGGTACCGTATATATAAACAAGGGAATATGTACAAAGTAAAAAATATACATGGCACAGTATATACATTAAACAGCAAGATTGTGAATATGAATGACATGCAACAATATGGCATAATTGGAGTGCAGAAACAAAATGTCCCTTATTTGAAGTTTGTGTGGTGCTTTTTGGCCTCTGCTCCATAATTGTCAAACCTATGATAAAAATTGGTATTTCCCTGGAACTACCAGGTCGATCTGGAAATGCTTTCCTGTCAGGATAAAGGGAAACACCTGTGGGAGTGTTTTGGTTAACAAATGAATAGAGATGGGAATCAGAAAAATTGTCCAGAATAACCTGAAAAAAAATCCCTCACATGGGATCAATCCCTATAAAAATGGAGATATCGGGCTAAAATCTGTCATAGCCCAGCATGTGGACACTGTTTGTGGAAAGATTTACTTTAAACAGCGAAGCAAAACCGCTCTAGAAAGGCGTTGGTACAGGCCTCACATCATGTGGCAAAGATTATTTTACAAGTCAGGCTGTGATTGGCCAATGTTTAAACCCTCGTTTTAATTGTCAGAGCATATTGGATCCGACTAGCCCCACGTGGAGAAGAGCACTAGCTCCCTTAACCACTCAGAAGCCAGAACGCGTAGAGCAAATGATGACCCATAGCTCTGAAAGTTCCCCCCCAGAACCCTCCAAACTTAAGAGAACAGGTGGAATGTTAGGGACGCACAAGGTGGATGCTGGAGATGGATATTTTAATCGAAAAACCCCAGAATAAATTCTAATTTTCTTTCTAAAACGGCAAAGGTGAGGAGTATTTATGATTGAAAAGCGCTAATGTGATTTGGGTGCTTGGGTGTTTGTTTTCTCATAACTTTGGGAAGAGTTGTCTGAGAGAAATGTGACAGATATTGCTGTAATCCGGTTGGAATGTGCTTTCTGTTGCTTGCACTTGCCGGTGTTACGTCTCCACTGTTTTTTTAACATTCTGTCACGGCTCCACTGTGATGTCAGCTCTGCTCCCCTGTTTGTTCTATGTGTGGGTGTCGTTTGGGCGTGGCTGCCATCAGATGCCATCTGGGCTCCTCACCTGTCCATCATTTAGACCCTGGTCACGCCCAGCTGAAATACCCCGGGGGTATTTCGGGGGTCCCATCGCTCAGTGTTATATATACTCCCGGCCCTTTAAGACTGCAAAGCTTGGTTAATCGGTAACTTTGATAGTGCTGAACCTAACCTGTGTGTTTTTCCCAGCCCAGTGGATCTCCGGACCACATCGTCGCCCAGACAGAGCTTCTTCCACAGCCTCGCCACTGCATTCCCTACTCGATCCACATACCTACAAAATGTTCCCTGAATCCCAAAGACCAGACCAGGGTCTCCAGTGCCAATCCCAATCAAATACATTTCATTGGGAGTGGCATTTCTGTTAGCCTGTCAACAGAACAAGGACATGCTCCCTCCTTGAGAGACCGGCTTTGTAATGGCACATCATCATTACAAACATGTTCTCTCATCCTGTCAGAGGACATAATGTGATGTTTGGCAATACATTCCTCAAGCCAAATTAGAAACAAATTTCTTGCCATTTCAATGGATTACGGTTCTATAATAATGGTGCCACAGCTGGACATTGGTCTTTGGTGTTGATTTTATTTTGAGATTGGTTCAGACACCAAATTCAACTAAAAACACTACATTATATATCAGTGTAGAGTGGCTCGTCTATACTCAATCTTATTGGATCACTTCATTTTCATATTAAGTGTGCTCCACATGTCTATATGGTGAGGTGCATTTTAAAAGTCCCTTCTTGAAAAAAAGATTGTAAATGAGGCATGTTACAGCAGGTGGAAAATATGCCGTCCAATAACGATTTAGACCACGCACATACATTGTGTGAGAAAGTGAACTTGATCATTTCGTGGAATTCTAGAAAAGATCAGGTTTCTAGAATTCTAGCAATGATAACGTTTCTAGAATTTCTAGAAATGATCATATTTCTAGAATTTCCTTTCCTAATATGGGGTGCTTTTTAAGGGAGTCTACAGGGAGAAAACATTGGGAAACGGTCCTTTCTCTCAGTGTCCTAGTCATGTGACAATGGTGGGGACAGGCCAGTACACTCCAGCAGTGGTGGAATGTAACTAGGTACTTTTATTCAAGTGTTATTTCGAGTTACTTGTATTTGACTTGAAGTGTATAATTACCTTCACCTATAGTTCTGAATCAGTTGTCTCTACCTTCAGAGCCATCGCCGTGTGCAGTCTCGGTTAGTGCCATCATTGCTACCTGCTCTCTCACTGGAATCCCATGTGTCATGTTCGCTAACCAGTGCTGACAGACTGAAACGAGCATGTCTTCAAAGCTTCTCAAAGTGAACCAACAAGCTCTGCATACATATTCCCCTTTCATCTATATTTTGACTGAATTCCCGCAAGTAGCTGGAGAGCCTAAAAAAAGACGACTTATGTGCGTGTATGTGTGGCGGGGGGGGGGATTCATAACTCGAATTAAGGAATGCGTGGGCACCGAGCAGCTGTCACTGCAGGAATTAAGT